ACACATACACTCACACACACACACACACTCACACAAATATATTCTACTCATGCATTCATAAAACACTAATGACCACTAATACATAAACATTTAAGTACATTCTACAAGCTAGAGACAAACAAGCATGACAAACACACCAGCTTCTGCAGTACGCGCACATACAGCTACACAACCACACATCAGCAGCAGCATCCTAGACACAGACTGACAGACTGTTTTTTAATTGGCTTCCGTGGTGAGTGAACAGACAGACGGACCCACATCCACACACACAAGTGCATACTGAGAGGCGTACACACACAAACACACACTCCTGTCACAGTGGGCTCTGCTGTGCTGGCATTGGCTAGTGTTCCTGCTCTGAGACAGACACTGCTCTGTTTGTCTCGCCCTGCCAGCTGCGATCTGCGAGTGCATTGGTGTGTGCGTGCATCTGTCTGTGTCAGTATAAAGCTGTTTATATGTGTGGGTGGGAGAAAGAAAAATACAACGTGAGGAAGTTATTGATAAGGTTTATGCACCATGTTTATACGCAATGTGCCATATTTCACTCCATCCCAACTGTGCAGATAAAATGATGAAACAAAAAACATCACACATTTCAGATTGGAGCAGAATTATAAGTTTGACTTCACGATGGAGCCAGTGTCACACAAACACAGCAGCAGGAGCAGCACATGAGACAGACAGGCTGTAGTAATTGTTGTTTACTGGCAGCATGTATTGACAGTGCATGAAGTGGAACAGAAAAGGTGTTAAGGTCAAAGCAGTGTAAAGTGCCACGGACTTCATAGATGGTTTTATTTATCTGAGATTCACCACATACTCACCATGCTTTAGTGGCTACATGTAACAGAGAAACCTGTTACATGTGTGTTCTTCCCAAACAGTATTTGCTGATCCAAAAGTATAGATATTCTAAATATGTATTTGACATTGATTGGTATGTAGACTGGCTTGCATCTGACGTTGGCATGTTTTCAGTCCGATCTCTGTAAGTGCATGGAGGAAACGTAGCCTTTTAGTTTGAGAGGAGAGAATGAATGAACTGATTCATTCAATTATTTTATTATTTTGTTGCCACTGGTATATAGATTTATTGTGACTCCCAGCTAAATTAATATCCTCTTTCAAACATATCATTCGAGGCGAAGACTGCAAGCAATCCTCTGAGCCGCTTCTCCCTCTTTCTCTTATTCTATTGTTTAATGCCGTCTCAATTTCCTACAATTGGTCTGAAAGTCTGAACTGTCCAAAAAAAGTGGCTAGCTGACAATGCTGCTGAAGCACTTTATATATTCCAAGAAACTAATGAGTCAGAATGGTCCCAACAACCAATGAGGTCACTGCAGGCTCATCTCTACCTCTGCTTTTATAAAGAATAACCACATCACGTTGGGGGAAGCAAGGGAGCCGCAGATTGGTGCAAAGCTCCTTCATCTTTCCTGTGAATCTACTACCCTGGACCCTAAAAACTTTAAAGCAGCTATAACTTGATAATGAATCCTGTATCTCCCTGGTTTGTTATACTACATGCATGTCATTGAACACCACATCTTTCTCCCTGTGTTTCTTCCAGGCTGTCAGTGTGGGGAAACATGTGAAAGGTTACCATTACATCATAGCAAACCTGGTAAGAACCCTAAATGTTGTTGCTGTCGGCTGTTATTTTGAGATGTGTTTGTGCTTTAACATGAAATCTACTACAGAATTTACAACAGGCTGATAAATATTATACATCTGAAGCTTTAAACTACCTAGAATCTGCCATGATACAAATTTAAGACCTTACTTAATGTGTCCTAAAGCTGTAAATTGTTCTTTAGCTCTTAGCAGAAAAAATAAACTATGATAGCCAGCCCCATGTTTTTTAATATTTCCACCAAATTGCAAATTTTGCTTTTACGTCAGAATTTGCATATTTCCATTAGTCTCTCCTTGACAGAGCCTTAGCTGTAGGACACCATGAAACCATGTCAGTAGATGAAGTATTGCTACAACCTTAATCCCTGAAATCTGTTGAACAGCAGGTCACTCAGGGACTGTGAAAAAAGGGGCCACTGCTCTCAGGCCAAGCTACGCAGGCTCTCAGAGCTTTTAGCAATTAGCATCCATCAACCCAGGATAACCCTCACATGTCTTTACTCCCTGCCTGCCTCTGTCTCTGGCCATTTCCCAAATGGATCCCACTTCACGACTACTTCACTGTGAAGTGTTGCACTGCATGGAGTCACACTCACAGCTGTGCGAGTCACTCCGTATTAACTCGGGTTATAAATAATCAGGTAAACTGTGGCGGTATGTGGAGTATGATAACGTCAGCAAAGGTGCATAAACTCACACGTTTCCACTCATCACCATCAGTGAATGATTTTCTTTTTTCTTTCCTTTCTTTCTTTCTTTTTGTCTCTCTCTCTCTTTCCTTCCTTCTCAGGGTTTTAAGGACATATCTCTGGAGAGGTTCATGCATGGCGGGGCGAACGTGACTGGTTTCCAGCTGGTGGACTTTGGAAAGCCTATAGTCATTAAATTGATGCAGCGCTGGAACAAACTGGACCAGAGAGAGTACCCTGGATCTGACAGCCCACCTAAGGTGAGAACACATCTTTAGATATAAAGATTGTCATTTAAAACAGCAGTGGTTGCAAATGGACAAATAATTGAAGTGCACACACACACACTCAAATTTTGTTTTGGTGACACATCTTCTACTCTATGATCCATCTACTTTTACCAAATTCAGTGTCTGTTTTCTCTCATTCTCCATGTCTCTTCCTCTGTCACTCGTGTGTGCTTCTGTTTACCCTCTTTGACTCTGACCTTCTTCTCCGTGTCCGTCTTTGTCATTCGTTCCTCCCTCAGCGCAACTCTATTGACTGGCTACTGACCTGCAGCCAACCGCGGTTGATTTGAGCATATATTAACTGGAAATATGTCCACCTTCCGATTAAAAATACATCACAATGCAGCTTTTTGTCCCTTGCTCTCTCGGCTCATGCCCACGTGCATGCAAATGTTTTCAGGAGATACACACAACATAGCAACAATAAAATGTGATGATAAGGTCATATTCCTTCATTACTGGTGTGACATTTGTCACATAGGGGCCTGTGTCAATGAACCAATCATTATTGTTGGATTCACTTGATGAATTCTCATTAGCAGATGTCAGTTGTCTTGTAACGTTTACACAACGTTCTGTATGTTAAATGATGTAGAATTTTCAGACATAAACCCAGTGGACTTGCTTAGATACACAAAGTCAAGGCAAACACAACTGTGAGTGTTTACACACAGTAAATATCTCTGATAAACTGTATTCAAACATTCTTTCCTTATTGCAACCCCAAAAGGTTGAGCTTTCCCTTATGCTTTTTTGCAAACGAGGAAACAATGATGAATGATTTAACACAATGACAGTAAACCAGATAGCACTAGCGACAACAGCTGCCTCCAAACTGCTGTAGGCTAATTGGTGCTGTGTAAAAACTGAGCTCAGTTAGCCTTGGGCCATCTCATAGCCTCAGGCCAAGTAGAAAAAATAATGTGTAGTGTAAAAAGCACTTTTCGGACTTGTCCTTTTTTTTGCATGGGAGACTGGATTTTGAGCGGTAGCTGCTTTTAGCCATCAGTCAAAATTTCTAGACTGGTGTGCCTTGAAATGAGCTCTTGTGTGCCTGGAGAATTTGTTGAATTTTAATGAAAATGATCAGTGACCTGGCAAAGTTATATTTGAACTTCATCAAAATTCAGTCTCAATGCTCATGAACAATTTACCCACATAATTTGAAATAACACAAGTCTAAAGCCATGCTAACTGCGGCTGTTGGGAATGCAATTTTTGGGAAAATTAAAACATTGATCTGATAATGATAAGAGAAGAAAAGTCAGGAGATTATCTTCTCATGAGGATTCATCCTATACATTTTTGAGTAACCACAGTGTGAAGTATGTCAAGAGGAAATCTGTTTAGACTTGCTGGATTCCAATTGAACTTGGAGATTCAAACTGATCCTAGAAATGTTGAAAAATCCAAGACTGTTTTCTATGTGTTCCAAAATGTTCCTGTCTCACCCCTGACAGAAACAGAAAACCGTATGATAGTTGGCTCAGTATTCCTGTTGTTTTCTCCTCGATTTGAATTCTATAGTCATCATCTGTCAGTCGCTCGCCTAAAGGCTTCTTTAGTTTCAAAGGGGAGAGATGAAAGAGGATGACATGGTTGCGCAGCCTTCCAAAACACGCCTTGTGGGATATAAATCAAGAGATGTCAGTGAGAGGGAACTACCTGCAGAGGCATGGAGAGTATCTGCAGAGTTTCTCAGCTGACTTCCCTCTTTCCTTCCATTTTCATCTCGCCACTTGTTTCTGCAGTGATGTGAAGGCGGCCCGCTGTGTGTTTGACTGCCTCTGTCTGTGTGGTGCTGTGTCTGGGGTGGATAGGGGTGTTGCTGTTGAGTGCGTGGTGGTGCTCCTCGCTGTGCTGTGTCTTCCCAGTAATGAATTTGTCAAACAATCCGTCAGATCAACACCACTTTGAAAGGTTTCATTAAGGCACAAGGACTGATAGTCTCTTAGCCTTTTCTTTTATTCATCCTCAGTCTGTCTGTCACATTAAAATACTTAATTTTTGGTGATTTACGCAAAATCACTTCTGATGTGCTACATCCATAAACAGACAATGAGATAATGGGTCCCTGGGCACAGAAATGTTAAAAGCCACAAAGAAACCTACTTCTGTGGTCGTACTGCATCTCTTCCTCATTGTTGATTTCCTTTATTTTTAGTCATTTTGCAGTTTCAAGCAGAGGCACTGTCCGTTGACTGGCAGGCTTGTGCAGTTTTCCAGCCATTGTGGCTCAGGAGGTAGAGTGGGTTGTCCACTCACCAGAGGGTTTGGTGTTCGATCAGTCTGTTTGCCAACATGTCCTTGGGCAAGACACTGAACTCCATATTGTTCCGTCTGTGTGTGAATGTTATGTGATAGATAGCTGCATATCAATGCTTGTATGAATGTGTGTGCGAATGTGACTTGTAGAGTAAAGCACACTATGATAAAACGTTATATAAATGCTGTCCATTTGCCAATTATTCATCAGAGGCTAGACTGTGAAAAAAAAGTTTTTTTATTACATTTATTGATCACAACTTTTAATATTATTTTTATTTAATAAAAGTAATACGATAATACCCAAAGTCATGCTTATAAATCTTGTTATAAATGCAAATGTTATCATCAGTGGGAATTTTCCGGTGAAGTGGAGATTTTCAATAATATTTGACCATTTTAATGGATGTCCGACTTTGCCCGGAAACTGTATTTAAAAACTAGAACCTGTCTAAAAGTGGCACATTTACTGTGATGTTACATTTTTACAAGCTGCCTGCTTGACCTTCACCGGTGTTAACTGTGGAAGTCAAATAAAAGTCAGAGTGATGAGATGGATTGGGGCTCAGGTCAGCATGGCTAATGTGGAGTTAAGGTGGTCTGAGAGCTGCTGCAGTAGTAGAGCTGTTGTCCAGGATTAAACTGGTTGTCTCATAGGTTCACAGTACAGCCGATGCAACAGCATCTATATCAAAGGATGATGTATCAAAACTGATGTAAGCCTGTAGCTACCTTCATTGAAACGATCACTTTTTTAAATGACACTGACCACAAACACATCATACATATCTTCACAATTTCTTTTGGATTCCAAAATTTAAATAAATCTCTTCTATTGCTGTAATCCTTTGTGATATACAGTTTTGTTTTTACCAGTAAAGTCTGGAAAAAAAGTATTATGTTTTAATAATATATATTCTACAAATCTACTAAAAGCTTATTTTCAGTGTATAATTTAAAGCTTTATGTAGGTATACCTCAGCCCAGGATTCTTCCTGGGCAAAGTTTGGATCGCATTAAATTTTAACTGGAAACTTTTTAATGCTTCCCTCACTTTTCAAATATTTTGCACAACCTGAGAACTGCAAGTTTGAGAGGATTAATTTCTGATATACTATGGACCTGGACTTACAAAGGATTTATTTATTTGCTTGTCACCAAAGTTTCAAAACTCGTCAAAATGATAAACATTTTCTCTTCCCTGTCTGTTTTCTCTTCTGTTCTTCAGTATACCTCGTCTCTAACGTACGATGGTGTTCTTGTGATGGCAGAGGCCTTCCGAACCCTGCGCCGTCAGAAAATTGATATCAGTCGCCGTGGCAATGCTGGTGACTGCCTGGCCAATCCAGCAGCTCCCTGGAACCAAGGAATAGATATGGAGCGTGCTCTCAAACAGGTGTGATGTTTTAAAGTTTTGCATGGACGGCTTGCAAAATACATAAACACACACAAACACAGACACACACACACACACAACCAGTGATGCGTTAGTAAGAATTACAGCAGGTAACAGGAACAGGTTGGAACAAACAGAGATAATGATTGTTAACTACAGGCCTGACATATTAATGTAGGAACAAAGATATGACATAACGTGTGAATGAAAGGTCCGAATATATTTAACACTGATCACTGTATCAAGTGTGAATTACTGTAAAAATAAAATAAGAGGAATGATAAAACTGTTAGAGAAGTTCCTCGAGTGACATGTTTAGCACATGGTGAGCAAGGTGTGTGAATTATCCTGAACAGGGATATAGATTTTTCAAAATGTAAATCTTTAGTGCCTATAGGGAACCATGAACAACACTGCAGCACATTTATATTGAGTTATTAAAGTTTCTCTAATTAAACAGGCTCACAGTGATAATGCTTATATACAGCTACTTAGACGGTTTAATGTTTACTGTCTTGGTTTATCATGTTAGCATGCTAACATTTGCTAATTACTGCAGCTGAGGCCAATGGAAATCATCTGATTTTTGTATTAGGTAATAAGAAATAAGAGTACTTGCAAAATATATATACTATATGACCTGATGATGGAGCTTGATGAAAATGTGAAGTTGATGGAGCTCCCACACACTATACTTGTGGGGACATTGCATTGATGTCCAATCACTTGGACTCGGACATAACAATAACTATTAGTGATAAACATTAAGGCTACATTGCAAAGACTAAACCAAAATGAGACGGCCTAGTCTACTGAGGATTGTCTTTTTGCGCCACCAGCTTGTCCCAATGCAATGATGAGGGTAACGTTACATCATTGTCTCTTTTTGAAAAGTAGCTTGTCACCAGCATGCAATGAATTGTGGGATAAGTTGACCTGGGAAGAATCCTCCCATTGGATCCTTCATTACGCAGGAATGGGAGGACGCGTTTCTTATCCGCATTTGAAGTAGCCTTTGAAATTGGACAACCTCGCACCACTGTGACGCAATCTGTCTTCAAATGCAGCTTTTGAAAGATGCAACCCCTGACTTGGGAGACTTACCCTAACCTATATTTAGTTATGATTTTAAATCTTAACTTTAAGACACTTGTTTTCCATCCATGATCCTTTGAGGGTGGCAGGAGGCTGACATTATCACGGGACTATTCATATTCATATCCTTGCTGCTAACTCATGTTAAAGATTAAAACATTTGTTGATACTTTCTGCAGTAGCCATTCAACCTATTCACATTCAGAGCGTGTTGTTTTTATTTTCCTTACTCCTTACCATAACTGTTGCTATAAATCCAGGTGCGCATTCAGGGCCTGACAGGGAACATTCAGTTCGATCACTATGGCCGGAGGGTGAACTACACCATGGACGTGTTTGAATTAAAGAGCAACGGACCACGCAAGGTAAGCACTCTACATGGATGAGGAGCAATATAAAAGACACTTCAAATTATTGAGTTTAACACCATCGGAAAACATACGACATACGTCAGCTGTTGTAAGACTATTTTGTGATTTCTCACCTCCACTGACAGAACGTACTCTAAACTGACTCTTACTATGAAAGGATGATTCCTGCAATTGTCAATGTGTTTGTGTTGTGTGATTCCTCATGATGGTTATTTGTTAAAAATGAATACATTTGCTGCCCAATGTTCCCCCTAATCTCTAACAAAGAGCTGAGTTACTTAAGTGTAAATATCTTTCAATAACACCGATATATCCGTCGCAGCTTGGGTTTTAGTAGCTTTTTGGAGCAGCTCCCAGACAACCTGGTGCAACATAAAACACTGCAGTGACTTAAATAACGAAAGTTTGAACATCATCCCTCTTCATAATTGCAAAAGGTATGAAGGTAAATCCGTAGTTTAAAGTGCTCATAATTTGTCTTTACTGGAAAAAAGCATACATGTAGCACCTGTAATGAAGACATAACATTATGTTCCAGCTTCTCAAGTGTTCCTTTGACAGCAATGTGTGCTTATTGAAAGTTCTTGGCTCACACTCAATATCTCTCAATATCCTCTACAGTTCCAATGGGAAATTTGCTGGAGTGAGCTAGAACTGTTGATTCTCTTTTGTAATGTTTCTATTCCCTTACTTCCATCTTACTCAGGCTCTTTTTTTCTTATATCTCTTTTATTAGTTTTTTTTTCCTATCTTGGTTTATTGTCAGCATCTTAAATTTTTGCTATAAAATAACAGAGTTCTAGGGCCATGTGAAGATGATCAGATCCATTAGATTTTGAGAATAATGACGTAATATGAGAATAAAGTGCTAATTGAGAAGAATGTCATGATATAGCAAGAATACAGTCGTAATTGAACAAGAAAAAGAATTAAAATAGACTAAATTTGTAATCTGATTTAAAAGAACTCATAGTATTATGAGAATACAGGAAACAAATTTTTTCTCAGAAATAACCAGGAAGGAGGACCTAATCTCGCTGGAGTCCCACTCCTGGATCCAAAATCTTGAACAATCTCAATATTTCTTAAGAAACAGAGACCATAACCTCATGGTTGACCACTACCAAACATTTCTTTCTCCACTTCTTTCTTCATAAGAGACTTTTAAAAACCCTAATACTCATAACCAAAATATGAAGTATTTAATTATTTGTGCAAACTAAACTTAGGTAGAATTATTTTGATAATATTACACCTCTATTCTCGTAGATGTACGACTTTTTTATTAAGACTTTTCACACTCTAATTTCTCTCAGATCGGCTACTGGAACGACATAGACAAACTTGTGTTGGTCCAGAATGAAAATGCTTTGTCCAATGACAGCTCAGCGATGGAGAACCGCACCGTGGTTGTCACCACCATTATGGTAAAGTACCTTCTGATTGCTTTCATTTCTGTTTGGTTGTTACTGTTAAAGTGGAGCTTCACCCAAATCTCTGTCTCTCCAAGTAATTCCAATAAATCACAGTGATGAAAATCTAGGGTAAATTGCCTCGATGGCCTCACAAGATATTTTCAGTCAGAAATCATGGGAGTATGAAAAAGGGAGCCGGAATTTGAAGAATCAGGTTGGTACTTGATGAGCTGTACAAGTTGAAGGGAGCTCTCAGAGCACACCCAGGGGAGAGTGGCACTTATCCAGCTGGAAGATTGCACTAATGTCTCATTAGAAGGCAAAACTAAAACTGACCTCAGATCACCATTTAGAAGTGACCTCAGTCCAGTCTCTTCTAATGGCTTTCCCATAGACACCGGTCTGCGGCCCAGTTTAATTATTCCTCCTTCCTCCACAAACAAGGATAAAAGAAGGCTAATCGCTGGATTTGTGCACATCCTCTGCTTACATTTGATTTCACTTCACCCATCTGCAGCCTTTTTATGGTGGCCATCCCCTTCCTGTAAATGTAATCAGTCTAATTCAATTGGGCATGCAAAGTGATGCAAGTGAAAGCAACTCAAAAGACTAATTTGAGCCCAGAGATAAAAACAAGCCACAGATGCTTGAGCTTCAGCAGTTCAGCATTTTGTTTCCAGGCACATTGATTCACCCAGCAAACACATAAGTACGGACACAATTTCTAGTTGTGCTCCCTTCGGTGCCATGACATGAACAAATATCTGAAAGATTGTTCAAAGACTTTGCTGTGTTCAGGAATTAAATAAACTCGAGAGCCCCTAGTGGCTAGACATGGTCAGGTCAGCACAGCAGGGAAGCATTGAGCCAGACGAGGAAATACAAACACAGTAAAATTAATTATTTTGAGAGAAAAACCTATTTTTAATGCATGCATATTGAGTCAATATACAATACCTTTTAGAACACACATATATGTGGCTATTTGATTTGTGTTATATTCATTTTGTGTGGGTGTAAAAGCTGAGTGCAAAACAATCTGACTTTGCTGTTGACATATTTCGAAGTTTGTTCGTTCCCTGTTGCTCCCCTCCCATTACTCTCCGTCTGTCATCGGACTTTTTCCAACACCGCTATGCTGTCTCTCTCTCTCTCCCCACCTCTCACCATGTCTTGCTGTCTGTCTTTAATTCCACCCATCTCTTCAATCCCCCGCCCGCCCATCTCCCGTTTTTCCTCTCCACCTGCACATTTCTCTGTGGATGGTGACCTCAGCAGGCCTTGGCTAATGTTAGCTCAGCCGCCTCCTCCTCTTTGCAGCCTCTGATGATGAGGAAGCCTCTGCTGCGACACTGACGCCGGGGTCTGCAGACAGAGCACAGCAACAGACTGAAACGCAGACTCACCTGAGTCGTAAACCCTCGGGAAAGACAGAGGACAGACAGTGATAGGCCGAGTGTCTCTAAAGCGCAGAACAAGGACACTCTGTGCTCTGTGGTTTTCTTTCTTTCTGTCATAACTGCCTTTCTTTTATTCTTGATGTATATTTCCTTTGAAAAGATTATTTAAATAATTTATTTCGTTTAGAAGTGGTTTGCCATGTATTAAAACAGAGTGACAATGGCACTAGGATGCTTTCTCTCTGCGCTCATGTCTTCAGCTCATAACTAAAGCCCAGTTGGAACGAGAGCTCTGCGAGGGACGCTGTGGCAAAATCACCGGACCATTCACAATCCCTGCTAATTCAGATTTGACTCTTTCTGAGGACACTGCAATCACCGAAATATTGTCTGTTAATCTACAGGACACCTACAGGAAAAATGACCTGACCAAAATGTATTTCGCGTGTCTTCTTGTCAGTCCTGCAGCCCTTCACTTTACTGCTCTCCCTCCATCTTTATCTTTCTGCTCCGTCACCCTGTAAATTTACTCCGTCATGTCTACTCAGTCAACTTTGCTCTATGCTGTGCTTCTCTAAGAGGTTTTCTAAATCCAAACATCTGAATGGAAGGGTACAGTAGAAAGATTTGAATTTTGACACAATTTCACAATGACATTGTCATTTTAATTTTTTAACAATAAAGGTATGAGAATATGTTATGTCCTAAAACCCTCCTGAAATATACATTGATGTGACAGTTTCACCCAAATGTAGGTCGTTCATGCAGGCAGGCTCTTTAGCTTTCATTCAATAAGTCATTGACACATGTAAAGTACATTACACACACATGCACACATGAGAAAAGTGCATTGACGGGAATTGATTGTTAAGTCCTTTGATATTGACTTTCACTAACGTACACTTGCTAGTCTTGTTAGCTCTCAACAAAGCCCCCGAGGTAGCCAATGATGGACTAACTGTACATACTTCAAATTGTAAATATATTTTCTTATTGTCCAAATTGCACAGTGCTTTTATTGAGTTTGCAAAATAATGCACAGTCCCTTTTCTAGTGTTAATAATATTTTTTAGACTACATTAAATTCTTTGTATGAGTAAACCTATGTGGCATCAGACCTGTACTTAGCTCTGACAAATGTGAATACCAGATCTGAAAGGAGCCAAATTGTGCATGCTTCTGAAAGAGTTGGCTTTGGAAAAGATATTAACGAACGAAAAGTATTGTAGATGCTGGTTTACTGGCTGATCGATAAAGCGGGTGCTGACTCTGTCTAATCATTGGCTAAACTGTCATCAGGTAGGTTTTTGATTGGCTGGTTTGTTATCTGGTTTGCTGACTTGCACAGCAGCTAACTGGCCTGTGACCGTCTTTGTGTCTGGATGACTAGCTGGGTGTAATTGTCAGGGGGACTCAGTGACTAGCAGACTGTGCAGTGATCTGGCTGACTGACTTGATGAATGACCTTTCTGGCTGAGTAGGCCACACGTGTGACTGGATACGATGATGTACTGTAATTTGCAGTAATTAGTGAATGACTGAAGTGATTGACCGACTAAAACATGGCCGTGACTAACCGACTGCCTGGCGCGCCTCTCCGGCCATCTGGAAGAATGCTTGCAGGCTGATTAAACGTCTCGGTGGCTGGCTAACTTGTCCTGTGATGGTCTGGCTTTTTAAATGCTGGACTGATTGAGTGTTGGCAGTCTGGATGAATGACTGGACAGTTAGGTGACTGCCCAGTTGGATGCCTGTCTCTTTTTCACTGGCTCACTTATTGGCTTACATAGCAAGTCCTGTCTGCCTCTTTGGCTCCAGTGTGAAGTGTTTCATGTCTTATCAGCTCCAACCATTTGCTTCTACAAAGCTGTTCTCCCTCTTCCACCCACCCATTCCTCCTATTTTCCGCCCCTCTCTCCTATTTTTCCATTTTAAGTTCTCTCCATCCCTTTATCTCTCCTTCTCACCCCTCCCCTTTATCTGTTTCTGTCTACTATTCACACTGTAGCTATCTCTATGTCTGTATTCTGATCCGCTCCTTCAGCGATCTTCTATAGTTTCACACAGCAAAAATGCCACGCATCCCTCTCTCCAGTAGATTTTCCACCATTTTTTCTTTACTGTTCCCTCCCTTTCTTTTTCTTTTAACTGCCTGATCTTTGCTCCTTATTCTCTCCCCTTTTCACCTCCCTTTTTCTGCCATGCCCATGATTCATGATTCTCATGATGCTTTCTTTACCAGCAGTAAGGACAGGTACTATCATCCAGTGCATGCGCGCGCGCACACACACACACACACACACACACACACACACACACACACACACACACACACACTATACTGGCATTGCTACCATCACACTGAGACAAAAGCGTCTGGGGCTAACTGATAACACACCTTAAGGAGGCTCTAATGTGAAACAGTGCCACTGTTGGCTGAGCTCCCATTGGTATGTGTGTGTTTTGTGTGTCTGTATAGTTGCTTACATAATACTAAATTAACTCAACAAAGCAGGCGGCTCTGATTTCAAACACTTGACCTTATAAGACGATAAACTAGAGGGTAATTTAATGGAGGAGGAGGCAGTGGAGTTGGCTGCATTCTCCTTGTTAACAGAAATTAATGAAGTGATTCCCCATGAGAATCAGTGATTTAAGATGAAAAATTAAGTTTAAAAAAAGCACTTACAATTTTTAATGGCACAGTCCCTGATATGACAACCTCCCACTGTAGGATCCAGTCAAGTTGTATTTGTGGAGGTCAATAATCAATACAGAACAGCTGTTTGTGCTTCTGGACAGGAGCTTAACAAAATGTCATCATCGGTGTTCATGAGTGATCATCTAAAAGAATCATTCAACAGTTTAGTTTCTTGCCAAGGGTTTCATGAGCAGATCAATACCACTGTCACATCTGTCTGTTTAATATGAAGCCATCAGTTGGTTAGCTTAGCTCTGCCAGAAGACTGGAAACAGGCTGGCTCCAACCAAATACAAACAAGAATCTTTTATTTTTCATTATTGTATTAGCTGAAATATGCATCAAACATATCTTAATGAGGAGAAGGGCTATCATTCAGACTTATTGAACGACCTCACAACAATGCAAAGACATTCCATATAATGTTTTGGATTAATCTTCATCTGTGAAACCAATCAGAGAAACGACAAAATCAGAGACCTCTATGAGTCCTTTACGTTGGCATGGTTGTCGAGCAACACATCCAGTAGAGGGCAGTGCAGAATTTCTGACATTAACAAACATTGCCACAGTGGATGAGGTTGTGATAAATGTACCTCTGAAAAAAGAGGCAAAAGCAATCACAGCATTGGTCCAACTTACCAACTCGCAAAGTCTTCCTTCTAAACATTCTGCTGTTGTTGCCATTTCTTTCTTGTGTCCTGCAATCGTCTTGCTTGAACTGTTGGATACACTGCCCCCCTATGATTTCCAGTGGTACTACTCTTTTCTGTCCGTCCGTATGGACACTAAGCTCTGTGTGTTTGTGAATACGTATCTAACGTTGAGCACAAACTATACTCTTTAGTCTCACGGTGACAAGACTCTAGTCTTTGTGTGATAAACTAAGATAAACATCTCAGAGACAAATCTTGATCATCTCATTTAACATTCACATAGAAATGATGCACCATATATTATCTCTTGTTTATTTTAAAGGGTGAGAATTGTTGAATTAATTTACAGTGAATAAGATGATTGTATAAAGTGCTGATATTTTCTATCCATCTTATGGCTTGATACAAATGTCTGTACAAAGTTGGATTAAAGTCTCTGTTCAAAATGGCACCAGATTCTTCAATTTCTATTTCACTGAATCCAAAACATGCAGAGTAACGCAGCATTTTAATCAGTTTCAGTGAATGTAATCTTGTCCATCTGGTTACAGTTCATTCTTTTTGTAATCTAAGAGTTTAGTTTACTTTTATTTTGTGGGAGGTTTCTGTATTGCCTTTGACTTTGGGTCTAAATTGAGTTATGTTCATATAAGCATGCACCAGATATTTCAGGCAGCTTGGTGTTATTCATCTGAAGCAATGCACCAAATGATATCTGCCATAAATGAAGCCTTCAGGCATGTACACACACTGTAATGTCACATTTTAATCAATAATATTTGTTGGGACCCTCGGCAGCTCATACCACACATCAAGTTTATGATTGCAAAAAGTAACACAGAGAAACCTTGGTGGCTGTGTTAACAGAGTGAATTTACTTTAAAGTGTTTTGCTGTTCATTAACACTATGATTCATGTTGAGTCAATGTAACAAGCCCCCCGGGAACTGCTAATGTCTGTGATAATGACATTTTAGCAGAAACAGTACAAAAACATTTTTTTTAGCATTTGATGATGATGCCGATTGTTCTGTGCAGCATAAATTAAGAGCTGAAATATTATTTGTGTGATTTTTTTTGTATTTTGCTTTAAAAGATCTTGTGGTGATGACTGAATAATGTTTCTTTGAGACATTTGCATATTTTTGTTTGTTTTAAAATGTGTCTGTTTGTTTTATATGTAAATCTATGATTTTTTGCACTTCACAAATGGGAAGGTTTGTTTTATTTGAAGCTCTTTGTTTACTAAAGAAGAGAAAATCAACTTCTAAATCCAGTTTCCCTCTGTAGCTCTTGTTTGTATCGATCACATTCCATTGTATGGCTTTTTAATCCCTCTGCCTGTCTCTTCCAATCGACAGATGCTTTCTGTGTAATTCACTTTGGTGGAATGTTACCGTTACCTCTGTGAGAGTAACGTTATTACTCACTTGACACCTTTTAAGACACGTCAGTGTAAAAATCCTCTTTGACTCCACTGTCTACTTTCAAATGTGAACCAATTTCCCTAAATGAAGAATTCTATATAAAATATGTTGTGTTTTATGATCTTCATAAACAGTTTCATAGCTTGGGAGTGTTTGATGATATAAAATAAGCCTGCTTGATTAATTAGATGAGATTAGTCTTTGATTAAAAAGGGTTTGAAAGCATTTTAATGGGCTTGGTTTCAGTTGGATCACAGGATGAGCAGCCTCAGGCATAATACCATAACTCACTGCTGCGGATGGATACGCTGTCACTCAAAAAGCTTTCTCTTCTTTCCTCTGTGGATATCCTCGCAGCTGTAATGTGTGGGCATGATTGTCTGTTATCATGCACATGCTTGTGTCTTTGTGTGTCATCATTAGTACACTCACCATTTCACTAGGCAACATTAAAGCCCTTCTTTGCTTTCATCTTTATAACCTGCATGAACAGAAATCATTCTACCTCTTGCCACAAATTACCACAGCAGTGGTCTTCCTTCCATTTTCTTTTGTGTATCCTTTCTCTCTTGTACATTTTTCTCTTTTCAGCTTTAGTGTTGAGTCAGGTGAAGGTCCCAGTGGAGCCATGTTGAGTCAGACAAAGGCATAAACCAGGGCCTGGCAGTCAGAAATACAGGATATAAAACATCTACCCCAGACTTGTTCTCTTAAAATCCAACTTTAATATTTTTTTTAACCATTTTATAAACTGTGCAACTGTTTCTATCAAGTTTTGGTTTCGTGTTTTCTTGACAAGATAATTCACTTGGAAGACATCTATCTCTTTTAAAACATTGGAAACATGAATATTATATATAATGTGTGACTTTTAGATTGCCTCTCTTCTGATAATGTGCATGTGTATTTATGAGTTTAAATGTTTATTGTTTGGTTTCCTGTTTCCCTTTCCCTCTTTCTCTTTTGAATTCTGTCTGCAACATTGCACTGGTGTGCTGCATTGAGCTGAGTCCCTCTGGGTATAATAAAAAAAAGTAATATAAGTTTCTTTTGAAAACGTATACACTTGTATTTTTTCATTGCTATCATTTTTCTTCGTATGTGTTTTTCCCTGGTGCAATGTTTACAACCAAACCCCTGCCTCCTCTTGATAAGTTTTTCTCTCAGAATAATTGCTGTCATGTTCCTCCAAACAGTTGTGTCTTTCTCCCCTTATGCTGCTTTTGTAGGAGGGTCCCTACGTGATGCTGAAGAAGAACTGGGAGCTTTACGAAGGCAACGACCAGTTTGAAGGATACTGCGTGGACTTGGCTTCGGAGATTGCCAAACACATCGGAATCAAATACAAGATCTCGATCGTACCAGATGGGAAATACGGAGCCAGAGATCCGGAGACGAAGATATGGAATGGCATGGTTGGAGAGCTTGTGTATGGGGTAAGTTTGGATGGAAAACATTTGGACTTGTATTCTCACTGGACACCAATATTCTGATAGTAACCCAATTACGACAATAGTCTGAATAAGACACTGAATAAGGTCATACTCGGAGTAATTAATAATCAAATTAATATGGGGAGTATTCTGACCTAAGTTGCATTATGTAGACATGTATACCTCTTCAATACAATGTAACGTCTTATAGGAGTTTTCACAGCATTTTGTAACATCAACACACATCTTTGGGCACAAAAAAAAAATGTGTTGATTTAGCAGTTCTCTGGAACAGCCTCCACATAACTTCAATGTTGTAATCTTCATAGAGGCCATGCAGTACAAACTGCAGAGCTATTACATTGCATTTGTTGTGACCCTGCTGCTGTGACCCCACCATAGGCCATCGAGCTGAGAAGTGCTCAAAATATCTCACTCAGAGCATAAACTTATCTGGAGCTCTGCATCTCCTTAGTTACCACCCCAGTCTCCTTCTGAGATGCTCTATCTAGACGCCTACTCTTTATTTCTTGAGAATTTGGTGAGCTGGCTAATTATGCCGCTGTTGACGCCCCATGCACAGCCTGCAGATTTCACATCACTGTGTCGATGCAAACTTTATCGACATGCAGAGGACAGTGTCTGTCGGCATTTAGCGGGAAGCTGAAAGTGGAGAAGCTGCTGCAGAACAGACTGAAGCAACAGAATTAATTAGCCTCCAGAATGTGTGTAGTGGAAGGTGACACAGCAGAACCGCTGCATTGACTAATCAGCTTTGATTTGTTCCAAACACTCGCAGCCCTTTGCAACGACTCCTCTGCAACAGTGAGGAGATCTCTGCATTTTATCCTCCGCATCTCTTCACAGTCGCTTTTATATATTTGTCCCTTTCTCTCTGTTTATCTTTGAGACTTTCCTCCCCTTTTCTTTCATGTTGAGTACATTCATCTCTGCTTTGTAACTCAAAAAAATCTCTTTCTCTTATGCTTTGTGGATTCTTTCTTATATATTCCTCTGCCCTTTCCTTCCCTGTTTCTATTACATATCTCTTCTGATTTCCTTGTCTTTCTTATGTTGTTTATCCTCCTTGCATCTTCACTTGTAGGGGAGGATGTTATTTGATATGCTGTTTGTGCAGCCTCTTTTCCAGATAAGACTGCAGACGCTGTTTAGACACACTTAGCTACTCAGAAACAGATACTCAGTGTGCTGAATGAATAATGTTTTTGACTCTCGCAGTTTTTTGCTCGTGTGTGCCCACACATGCAAATGCTGACTGATTGATATTCAGGCAGTGTCCTACTATGTATGAATTACTTCCCTGTCATTCGGTTATCCCTGTCTCTTTGCTTTCAACAAGTCCAAATTTCAATAATCTCCCCCTTGTTCTCTCACCCCCATGCACCAATCCCCTTTCTTTGCCTCCCCTCTGTCGCTCCTGCTTTAAACTCCACTCATCCTATAGTGATCCTGTCTACTATACCTGCCCTTTTGTGTTTCAATTTCCTCCTCCTTCCTTTATCTTCCTCCCCAGACTCTCACCTTGTGCAGACAAAAGAGTTCATAGACAATTCCCACTCACCTGTTTTACATGAAGTTAATGAAAATGTACTGCACTTAAAATAATGTGTACACTTTTCTCCCTTCGTGTTTTTGCAGAAAGCAGAAATCGCTGTGGCCCCGCTGACCATCACTCTGGTGAGAGAAGAAGTGATCGACTTCTCGAAGCCCTTCATGTCTCTGGGTATATCCATCATGATCAAGAAGCCCCAGAAGTCCAAACCAGGCGTTTTCTCCTTCCTGGACCCGCTGGCCTACGAGATCTGGATGTGCATAGTGTTCGCGTACATTGGAGTCAGTGTTGTGCTGTTTTTGGTGAGTGATCTTAGAAGTCGAGCTGGGTTGTGGGATTGTGACACGTGGAAGAAGTTTGTTATTGAAAGATTGTCTTTCCCTGGAATTCCAAAAGTGTTTTTCAAATGCAGTGCTGGGAGGTGGACCCCTGCTTCACTCAGAATTTATTTTTATTTGCTTTCTATATACCTGCACAAGTCTTTTTTTTACAGTTACAGACTTTTAAATAGTCTAAATCCTTTTTTGAAATGTTCTTCTCCGTCCCAGGTGAGTCGCTTCAGTCCATACGAATGGCATGCGGAGGAACCAGAGGAGGGAGCCACCGAGCAGGGCCCCACAGACCAGCCTCCCAACGAGTTCGGCATCTTCAACTCCCTGTGGTTCTCACTGGGAGCTTTCATGCAACAGGGCTGCGACATCTCACCACGGTGAGGAGAGGGAAATGGAGTGTGTGAGACGAATAGAGAGCATTCGTGAATGTGTGTCAGACAGACAGAATGAAAGTGTGTGTCAGTCAGTCAGCAGGATGTGTTCATAAGAGTGTGTGTGGGCTGGGAATAGCCTGTGTTTGTGTGTGTGTGTGTGTGTGTGTGTGTGTGTGTGTGTGTATGCGTGTGTGTGTCTGTCTCACTGTCTGCAGTGCTGTAGTATGAGGCTCTTGTGATTCAGACTGTTGACAATGTGAATCACCTCTTTTAGCACTTTGATAGTTTTCACTGAACTGGACTGATACACCAACACACTGTGTTACAGGACATTAAGATGACACCAACATGCACACACACACAAACTAAAAAAGTGATGGTGCACACCATCCAGCGGTCATGTCCGTATGGATGTGCACTGGTGGGAGATTTAGCAGTTTTCTAGGTGTATATGAATTTTTCAAAAGCACGACAGAAAAGGCAGAGTCCAGCTGTATTTTTAGAATATTTATAGAAATATGGCATTTTATTATTGATAAGCTGAGAATGCAGTTTAGTGAAATATTCATGGACGTCATCCTCAAGACCTTTAGGGAGCAAATCTAAGGAGAGAAGGAACAGAGGGGGAGAGCATCAGACCAGACCACAGGAGAGAAAGAGTGATAGATGATGAGCTGAAAGAAGGAAAAGATGAGCAGCTGAGCGAAATGCTTGTGCGCCTGAGAGAATAGGAAGTAGTTGTGTGTGAATGGACGAATGGACACTCTTCCCTTCACCATAGAGGTGGAGGTGAATGGTTTGTTTTATGGTTTAGGATGAAAATGAAGAGCGATAAATTCTGATTGCTTTTAATACGTAGTGCTGGATGTTTATCCCTCTGTGCCGAAAATAGCCAGTGGCTGGAGGCATGATGTTCTCAGGTTGTCAGTCCCATTGTGAACACGATATCTCAAGAGTTCCTTCAGGGTACGTCTTCAAATTTGGTAAAAAAGGTCAGTTCGACTTAAGGATGAACTGATTAGATTTTCTTGATTATCATATTTACATAAAAAAAACACGTATTTGATCTTGTGAATGCAACATCTTAGGAACACTGTGAGTAAATATCTTCAAATACGTCACAAACATTAAATTAGAGACATGGATACAATTATTAGAATGTGGAGGTCAAAGGTCAAGGTCAGTCTGATCTTGCAAAACACGTTTTTTGCTCAGGGAAATCATTGCAAGAACACCTCAAGTGAATCCTTTCAAATTTGGCAAAAATGTTCACTTAGACTCACAGATTGACCGCTTTGATTGACCGTTCTGCTGCATTTCTCATTAGCATTTCATGCTCGAGAAAAGAGCAAAACTTGTACATCAGCTGCCCAAACGTCCCTTTCTTCCTCCTCCTGTTTCACTCCTTGCACTTGCTCTTTCACTCTCCCTCTTTTCTTCTCTCCTCCCAACACCTGTCGTCTCCCACTCCTCCCCACTTTAGTGTGACTGACAAGCCAATTCAAGCCCAAAAACACAGACTGGAAAAACCTTCTCACCAGCTGCAGACGGCCACACTCACGCCAACACACAGGATGAGCACATAAAAACACTGCTCACACACACACAGACACATAAACAGACAACAATGCAACACCCACATGCCAGCCCTGTTACAGATGTGTGCGCATAAGCCACAGCTGTCACAGAGATTATGCGATACTTAACATGAAGCCAGTGTTCGTCATATAAATCACCGTACCCTGTCGCTTCCACCACAGCACAACTCCTCCACAGGCCAGGATTACTACAGTCATAAACACCAGATTATATTCTTACAACAGGAAATCTGTCACTTATAGACTCTACGTGTTCCTCTTGTTTTTGTTTACTGGAGTTCTCACATAAGAGAATCAGTTTCAACATAAACTTAAGTCGGAGATACTGTTCTAAAGGCAGCTCAGTTAAAAGTGATAACAGCACTGGAATAGTTTAACATGTAGATTTAAAGTCTGGTGTATTTAGTGGCGTCGCTTTGTGTCCAGGATGACCAGGGAGTAAAAAATGGAGACATTTATTTGATCATCTCAAAAAACCCTTTATCACATAAAACCCTTCCACATAAACTGGCTGAGGGCGATACCTAAGTAGTGACGCAATCCATGATTATGTAAGTGGAAGAGGTGGGAAACTAAAAATAGGTAATGATCAAAGAGTTAACTAGTTCATTAAATTCATTGATGAAGAAATCAAATAAGCCTGCAGGGCAGAGTTTCTGCTGGAAAAATCAGGTGATGGATGAGCCTCTTCTGTTCCGGCATGCTCTGCAGAAACACTAACGTCCTTAGAAAAAGGACACATGTCATGCATATCATCACGTCCGATCGCCATCCCTTCAGTACAGATCATATTTCCTTTGATATACCGCTCTTTTGTTCAGCTTAGCAAGGAGGCAAATGATACTAATGTAACCCAACAGACATATATTCACTTATATAACTATATGTTTTATATATTCGCTTATATAACTTATCAAATCACAAGTCTTAATCCTGCTGCTGATGCATCTCCTTCAAGTTTCCCTCAATCAGAATTATTAACATTTAAATGAAAAAGAAAACACAATAACCTGTTCACTTATTCACTTTCTCAGTCCTTCCTTAGCTGCACACCAACGCCTACAAACAACACTCTGAACTAATTACTCATAAAGGAGAATACATAATAGAGCTGCAGAACATTTCTTTCTAGTGTCTCTACTCGCCCAGAGATTGACTTTAGTCCATGGGGTCTCAATTACAGAGCAGAACTCTCCTCTGTTCAGTGTGCTGATGTAGGGGGAGGAAAGACGTGTGCTCTTTTACATGGAAATCTGGATCTTGTATTTATGTTTTACCACATTAGGCCTGTGATAGACTGATGACATTAATTACTATCTACAACTCCTTATCTACAACTATCTGAAAATGATTTTGTATTGAGGTTGACTTGCAGTGTGAAAGTAGGAATATAGAGTTTCAGCCTCCACTAGAAGAGATTTTCTTCTACCTTTCTGACTATATGTTTATTTCAAAATGTGTCTGTGTGCGTCTCGCTTGCTGTCAGCATTGTTGACTTTTCCAAAATCTCCTCTTTCATTATCTGTCATATCAGTCTGTCTTTCACATGCATAAGCAGCAGACGTCTGGTCCAAGTGTCGACACTTGTTGTTTGACTTCCTACACTAAATGTGTGTGTCTGTGTGAGACTGAGTGTGAGAGAGACTGTGTTTCTTATGCATTGTGTATTGAGCTGGGATAGTAGGTCCATTGGTATTCAGTCTGGGTCCGACTCTCCCTGCTGCAGTCATCTTTGCAGTCTAAGAGACAGTGTAACACACACTCCTCCTCAACTCTCTCACTTTCTATCTATCTATCTATCTATCTATCTATCTGTCTGTCTGTCTGTCTGTCTGTCTGTCTGTCTGTCTGTCTGTCCCTCCATCCATCATCTATATCTATCTATCTATCTATCTATCTGTCAGTCCGCCTGCCCGTCTCTCCGTCTGTCTATGCTCTTAATTTTTCCATTTTTATTCAACATGATGTAATTTCCTGCTACTTCGCAGTGTAAAAAATTGATATTTCCACAAGCAGAAGTTAAAGAGAACATCTCACCCATGACACACATACATTTTCTTTCCCCAAGACACACACAGTGCATGCACTGTCTCATGCAAACCCACCGCTTCGTGTTTCCGTCACCTTTTCAGTCAAGCAGAAGGTAATGGCAGAGAGCAGCACGCAGACACATCCATACACACACACACACACACACACATGGATTGTAAGTGACCTTGAGGTGGCACTTTGCACCACCCACCTGTCATCTTTTCATCCCAGCCATTTGGCTTTCTAATATTGCCGATTGACCTGGTCACCGCTCCGAGGGAGGGTGGGAACGTAAAGTGACGGACACTTGGGACGACGGGACTGTAATCTTTAAAAAAGTGTCCGTGAGTAGGTGGCAGAGACATGTGACAGCATGTGCGTCGAGAAAAGACCAAGAGCGAGTAGGAGAGATTGAGAGAGAGAGGTAAACTGATCACCAGAGAACATCCCAGAGGGTTTTGATCTGTATACGTCAATAAACATCTGAAATTACAGCTCTCTGCTCTTTTTCTCCTCCTCGCTCTGTGTGTGTGTGTGTGTGCGTGCGTGCGTGCATGCGTGTGTTTGTGAGTGTCATGTGTAAGTATTGAGTAAAGGGCCCTGGGTGTGTTGAATAGTTAATGGCAGCAACAGATCCAGTTAATGACTGACTAACAACCCTGACTAAATAATGATAACTCTCAAGGTCACTGATTTGGACCCAGTGAATCCTGTGTTTATGAACTTTACCAGTTACATTCTTATAAATCCTTTGAACGATCTTCTCTCTGATCGACTCTCTCTTTGTGTCTTTGCAGCTTTTCTGCATGACTTTTTTTATCATACCTTTCATTATCCACCTTATGCAGCTAATCTTCAATCTGATTTTCCCTCATGTGTGTCCGTTTGCCTTCACCCCCTTTGTTCCACCTCCATTTACTGTAGAGCCCTTCTTACTGTTTCAATCAATTCACTTTATTTCTCACCTCTGGTCCGTGAAAGAGGGCGAGGAAGATAAAAGCATTTTCACTGCCCTTCATTGAGTCCTAATCAAACATTCATGCCTCACTTTTCACCAAAAATCAGACACAATAGTAACTGACAAACCCGACATTTGTTAACATGTCCGTCACCAGCACTTGACAGAACACCATCTTGCTCTGTGATCAGAAAGCAAAGCAACAAAGTGTTGCATTTCCCTGTTGGCATGTCTTGGCAAACAGGGAAATTAGTTTTTTAACAAGCTCCTGATTTACATAATCAACTGCAGAGCATGACATCCTCCACGTCTGGTGTGTCCGAAGTCGTTTGAAAACATGATTACTTTATTTTTCATGGATAAAAGAAACTTGATAGATGACAAGATAGGTGGCCTTTCTTCTCCGTTTACAGTAA